GGCTGAACTCTTCAGGCTTGTTTGTTTCCTTGTTTTGTTGTTGCTCTGCGGAGAAATAAGGACTGGGACAGTCACATCAAGTATATGCATATCCAGGGGTGGTAGTCAAAATCTTTAACAATGCTGGAAAGCCTGTCAGTCCTAGCTGGGCCAAGTATTAACCCCTCAGTGTCTGGATGGTGGAAAGTCCTGGGGGGTCCTGGAGGAGGGACTGTGGCAATGAGTGTGACGAGGGTGGGGATGTCCATCCCAGTGTGGTTTGCCGTGGTGGGGAATTTGGGTATTCTGGGCACCATCCTTGGGGAGTGGATGACATAGAACAAAGAGGAACAGCCCAGATGAGCAACAGGGATGGAGCTAAAAACAGCCCCCCTGTGTGGAGAAAGATAAGAAGATGGAGATGAAGGACAAATGACCATTTTTTTAAAAGATTTTATTTATTTATTTTCAGAGAGGGAAGGAAGGGAAAGAGAGTTGTGTGGTTGCTGGGGGTCATGGCCTGCAACCCAGGCATGTGCCCTGACTGGGAATCGAACCTGCGACACTTTGGTTTGTAGCCCACGCTCAATCCACTGAGCTATGCCAGCCAGGGCTACAAACGACCATTTGTATAAAAAGAACGGAACATATTTTACAAGGATGCATGGAAACAGAAGGCTCTTGATAGGCGTGTCAGAATGGCTGCGGATGGAGGGTGGATGGCCATGCCAGTGTGGAGTGGGAGCAAAGGCGTAAATAAACAATAAACGTGAGAGATGATAATTTGCCATAACGGAAGAGGATGAGTCATTTAGCCCTCTGCAACCACGAAAGAACAGGAAAAAGGAAAGAAAGGGGAACCATGGCCCACAGGCCGTTGTGGCTGCATTCGAAGAAGGGGGGGGGGGTGTGCACTCAAGGGAGGGGCCTGCCCCTTCCTGCCAGCGGAGCACGGGGCACCCACCTGCCACCTCGCTCCTCCAGAAACCTCTTCTGCTGCCTTCTCACCCCCATATCTTCCTGGGGCAGAATTTCCTCCTTGTTATTATGGTTAGAAGTTGTGGTTTTTTTTTTTTTCAAAAGAAATTTTAATAGAAAATTTCTTCTGTTGCTGAGCCTGAACAGGTCACTTCTACTGATAGCCCACTGGAAATAACTCAGCCGTGTGCTCCCCACTAGCAGCACGGGGGGCTTGGACGTGTAGACGTCATCCCGGGTGGCAATGTACCTGGTCAGATGGCCGGCTGTCCTAGTTTTCTCTGGACTGAGGGGGTTCCTGGGACGCTGGGCTTTTGGTATTGAAACTGAGACAACACCAGGAAACCCAGTAAGAGTGGTTATCCTGTGACGATGACCAAGGAGGCAGAAAACAAAGGATCACAGGACTGTGCCTAGTGGCCTCTGCTGCGGATATCTCGTAATTTTTATAGATGGAAATGAAGACTGGACCCTAAGTCCCATCACGCAAATGAAGGATTGTTAAAATAGACACACAATACCCCTGGAGGAAAAGCCATGAGGTGACACACCTGGTCTTTGGTGCCTCTGAGTTTGCTTTCCTGCACCCTCCCTGCAGACTGAACGCCTTAGTGTATCTACCGGTCTGCCCGCCCGTCCATCTGCCCGTCCATGCATCCATCTGTCTGTCCGTTCACCTACCTTTTTGCTGGAAATCAGTCACTGAGCAGCCGTCACGGGACAGTCCCTGAAGATGCTGAGATGAATAACACCACGGAGTGCCTGCCTTCCAGGAGCTCACAGTTCAACACGGGGGACTCAGTCCAAGCAGCTGACAAGAGAGCAGGAGAACAACTCTAACCGGAGGTTTATACAAAGTTTACAGGGACCCACTAGAAGGAGCAGCTACATATGAGTTGGTCAGAAGAGTCAGAGAAATGGACGGCGATGATTTGGGGGGTTACACTGGCATTTGCCAGGCAGAGAAGGGGGCCTGACGGAAGCAGGGCCCGGGCAGGGTCCAGGCTGGGGAGCACCCAATGACACAGTGCCGAGCTGGGCCGGACGGCTGGGCCGGAATGCAAGAGTGGACGGTGTGTGTCCGGGGGTACAGAGTTGGGGTAAGATGTGTGGGATGAGGAAGGCAGAGAGGAAGATGCGAAGAGCCTGAACTTCAGCTGAGAAGGTCAGTTTGGCCAGATCTGAGCAGCCTGGGAGTCGTTCCTGGGAGTGTTCTTATGACCCGACTTCTCAGACAGAGTCTTTGCTCTGCTGAAGTGCATTATGGGTGCAGACAAGGGGAATGGTGCAGGTGCACTTGCCCAGAGCCTTCTGACCTTGGCACGGGTCCTCGTGGCACGTGGGAACTTGCCTTGGGAGCGGCTCAAGGGCCCTCGGGGGATGCCTTCAAGTACCTCTCCTCCAAGAACATTCTTTTGTGCCTGCAGACAGGCCATAGTCCGCCACATTTCTTCCTTTAATAATTCATAGACTGTGTCCTCCTGTCTGTAGAATGGTAATGCTTTTAGAGCTGGCAAAGACTTTGGAGGTATCTAGTAAAAACCCAAACAGAGAGCTAGACATCATTTCAGGGAGACATCACCGAAATGATCAGAGGCAGAGACGGACTAGGATTGAAGTCTTTGCATTTGAAGACCCCAAATATTTAGGATACTCAATATACAAATAACATAACAGGGCCATTAAAGAAAGCATGCAAATAGTGTTGTAAAAGAAGAGTGGTCATTGTATCAATAATCTGGAATAAACCATTCTAGCTAATTCACTAGATTTAGTCTTGACCTGCCTCCAAGCGGGTGGACGTGGTGGTTCAAGTTTTCGGCTGATGGAAGGTAACACGGAACTATAGGATGCCAGTTTCTATCAGGAGCGGGTGGAGCTGAGCAGCCCGAACTACTGACAGAGCCTTTTGTAATTCGCCTCACAAACATGCCGAACCACAGAAGGTCCTGCACACCCAGCCTTAGAGGAGCTCTGTGTCCGGCTGAAGACACACAGTTAAAACCCAGAGTGGCAGGCGCTGTGGGAGAGGGAAGCCCAAGGAGCAGAGGGGCTATGGAGACGAGACGCACAACCCAGGAGAGGAGAGGGCGCTTTCTGGGGGGCAGTGGCTATCCACTGAATGGTGTTCCGAGGCAAAGGGAGTTTGCTGAGCAAAGACAGGTTGGGTCGTTGGGAAGAGAACTCCAAGCAGGAGGAGCATCGCCGAGAATGCCCAGAAAGCCTGGGGGTTGGGGGGAGTGACCTGTTTCATGAGCTCACATTGGCTGCAGTGACGTTCCGGCTGCTGACTGACGAGAAGTAAATAAGAGGCGCCGACTGAGTACACGTTAACGATGACTGCTAACAGCCCCTCCCTCTCCCCTTTCCTCCCAGAGTCACCCGGCTGGTTATCTGTCCGTTGGACTGTAGTGAGAATGGAAGGTCAAGGACCGGTTTGGAGGGGGTAGGGAAGGGGGTCCATGGACATGCGGGTGAGAGAGGGAGGAAGAACTGAAAGGTGGGAAAGTGCAAGGAGCAAGAACACGCAGGCTTGGGAGACAAAGTGCACGCCTCTCACGCCTGCTTGGGACGTCTCCACTAACCCTGGGGTCCTCTGGAAACCGTGGAGGAGTGAGTACTGCCAGCAGCTGATGCTTAGCCACCTCCAGGTTCATGCATGGCGAGTGTAGTGGCTTCCCTAGAGGCAAGGTTTCAGATGGGTGTCACAGCATGTGGTGTAAAGGCATTTGGAGGGGGCAGCAGGTGAGCGTGTGCGGGGAGTGAGGCGGACAGACCAGAGCATGCACTGTGGGGATGGAGCCTGAGGTTGGGGGGGCGGGGGTGAGAGCGTGGCGTGTGAGTGGGTGAGGGGGGCATGCACCCCCACTTTGCCTGCATGAACATTGGTAAACTTTCAGGGGGGGGTACTTTTGGGGAACCGACCTGCTTTGTATGGCCCTACAGTGCGTTCCTGTGTTGTTGTTGCCTTTACTTTGCATGATCACCCTGGGAGAGAGGCCCTTTCCTTGTGGATGAAGAGCCCACGACCTCAGGATGGAAAGGTTAAGTGACTTCCACAGGGCGCCCCCCAGGGTCCAGCAGATGAGAAGCCCAGTGTGAGTCTCAGGCCCGTGCCCCTTCTGCACAAGCCCCCTATGCCCGAAAAGAAGTCTTGCCTTTTCTGTCCCCAGCTTTCACAGATGCCAAGTGGGGGCCCTTGGTGACCCCTGCTGTGTGTGTCTTCCTTCCAGTTGCCATGCGCCACTCCGTGAGCAGAACCTGACTTTCCGACTGCTCTGCACTGCAGATGCCTTCTGCAGTGCTCAGAGACCGTGGACACGTTTCACTCTCAAGTAAACAACGCTGGACTTCTGGATGACCTTAGTGACTGTAAATGATTACATAGCTAACTTCTGGGAGAGATCAGAGAGCATCCTTCTCGGGTGCATCATCAGCGATAAAGGGTAAACATATTTAGAATAACCTCCTGCTACCTATGATAAATTGGGTATGAAAATCACCTTCTTCAGCTACTTGCAGACAGCAGTGTAGACAAGCGCTTTGGATCCTCTTCCCCACGAGAGGGGTCCAGTCCGGGGGGGGGGCACAGAGCCATGGGGTTAGGGACAGAGGGCCTCAAACACCTGTTCCTCAGCCACCCGCATCCCTGCCTTGCTTTCCTGAGGCAATGATAACATCCGAGTCCGAGGGACCAGTCTTGAGTGTTTCTTCCCGTCTCCTCTCCCATTCCTGCTTGCTACTACCCTCTCTCTGGCCAAACCTCCCTCCCTGGAAGGTGCAGGTTTTACCTCCTTTCAAAAAGCCCTACCAGACCCTGTAAATATGCCTCTTTTCTCCAACTCCCACTGTGGCTTTTAATCAAACAAAAACAATGAGAAAAACCATGTCCCAGCCTTCCCTGAGGTCAGAGAAACTGACTTTCCCCTTTCCCATACACCCCCTGGCGCCACCCCCTCATGTGTGTCTGGCTCAGGGCCTGGAACTTAACTACGGGTGCTCTTGCCAGGTGCTGGTCTGAGGCTAGTGGTCAGCGGCTGCTGGGCTGGGGCAGCTGGCAGCTTTCACGATGTGGGGCTGGAACCCAGGGAACACGAGGTGCTTACGGCTCGGAGCAGCTGGCCCTGAGGAATTACTGCAAGTCTGCACAACTTAGAAATCTGCAGCTCGGCAGTCTGGAGGCGGGAGGGGAGCGCGGGGGTGGGTCCCCTAGCATCCCGTTTCTCCTGCTCTGGCACTTCACCGAGCCTTCTCGCTCACTGCAGAGGGGCCGGCAGGCGATGCCTCCTGGACAACGCGCAGCCCTCGCTGAGGTCCTGGTTTGTCCCTCCGTCTCCGCCTCAGGCTCCAATCTTCCTGAGACGGTCCCCTCCTCCACTTTCCAGGAAGGGGTATCAACTGGGTCCCCTTCTGCTCCGTGCGTGGGTGCATGTCCCCCACCTCTTCTGACTTGGTAAGTCGAGGAACAGAGCGTGCAGACCAATCTTGTTCTGATCTGTGCATGCGACTGCAGGCAGCGGGGCTGGTGGTGAACAGGCAGGACAGGGCTGTTTCCTCCTTCGTACTTTGTTTTGAAACAAGTTGGGGCCGCAGGACTTCCTAGGAAAAATTCCGACAAATCAAAGTGTTGCTTGGGCCATGACTTTTGAGAGGCAGTCGCCAGGGCCTTTGGGCCCTCGGAGGAAGTGGTGTGTCCCCCAGGGGTTCCAGTACTCCCAGCCCCGAAGGGCGCGAGGTGGGAGGTGTCCAGCGCTCCTGTTCCCTCCTGGACAGGGCGCGTTGCTCCAGGGGTGACTGTGCACTTGGGTGAGAGGACTGGCGCCCCGCACGGCCGCGCCACTCTCTGTCCAGCCATCCCTCTGCTGTGGTGTGGCCAGACCCCCCAGAGCCAGCTGTGGTTCGCGGCAGGCCACTGCGCCCTCAGCCCTCCGCGGGGACCGAGGCTGGCAGAAGCCAGGTGGCGGGTGGAGCTGGGACCCAAGGGGCGTTGCCAAGAGGCCAGCCCCTCCCCGCCCCGCCTGCGGCTCCCTGGGGCTCTGTGCTCCTGAAGAGCTGGACAGACAGACGGACAGTGGCGGCCACGCTTTCCTCGCAGCCGCTGCAGCGGCCGCTGGCCGCGCATTGAGGCCTGATCCCTGCAGCGCAGGCGGCACTGCGGAGCCGAGGGAGTCAGAGGCGCCGGACTCCTGCAGGTAAACTACTTCTGTCCCCACCTCCCCGAGCGCTCGCTCCCGACACTTGTCTCTTCGACCCTGCAACTTTCCTCACGTTTTGCTGCCCCAGCACCCCCAACCACCGGTGGCCCAGGTCACAGGTGCACGTCCCCAGAGATCTAAGTCTGCAGGGGACTTTGCATCCTGCTGGGTGCTCTCTGTTCTTCGTCCACATAAACCCCGGTCACTAGAGCCTTAGAGATCCGCCTGTTGCGTGACTTGGGGGCATCTGAGGGGTGCCTGGGTCCCTCCCTCCGAAAGCCGCAGGGAGGGTATCGAGGGTTAGTTCCTGGGCGTGGGGGGTGGGGTGGGGATGGCAAGGTGTGGAGGACGGACTGGAGGCCAGAGAATCCACGAGCTGGGGAAAGGCGGCGGCGCTTTGCAAAGGGGCATCTCTGGGGCGTTTCTTTAGCCTGCTCCTTCTCTTCCTGGAGAGGAGGCGCTTTCCTGGAGAACGTAAGTGCTTCCCGGCGCCTGCTCCGCCTTATTCCCCGTCCGATCTCCACCTCCCCTTCGCCCTGCAGCAGCGAGAAGACGCCCCGCGACAGTTGCTGGGGAGAGGGCATCCTTGTCACCCTTTTCTGGGTGCAGCACTGCGCGCTGGGCTGCCGGCGTGCTCTGGTGGGAGCGGCTCGGGGCTCCCAGACTCCTCGTTTGCATGAGTGGTTGTGGTGGGAGTGGGAGGGGGTGCTCCGGGTCGGGAACTTCCTTTTCCCGCGCCACTCCGGCTGGCAGGCTGCAGGGGCGGGGAGAGCCGGCCAGCGCCTTTCGCATTGCAGGGCTCCTCGTGTGCACCCCCCCTCCCCCCTGCGGTCTCTACTTGTCTCTTTTGGGAACGAAAGAAGCACCTTCGGAACCCTCGGTTTCTCCCCGACCTCGGCTGGGGAGGCTGAGCCGGTATTCTAACTCAGGCAGTCCTTGGAAGGGGTGGAGGGCCCCAAAGAATTCCACCTGCTGGGATGGTGGGGGGTGAAATGGGGTGGGGGGCTGCTTTGACGCCCTGGAGTGAATGCGGGGGGTGGGGGCAGGGGCAGGGGCGGGGTGGAGAGCGGCCGTGGCATTGCTTGTGCTCTAAGAGAGCAGACTTGGTGCTTTCCTGACTCCTGGTTTCTGCATTTCGTCCTGCCTTGTGGAGAGTGGGGCACGGGGAGGAAAACCGGGGCAAAACCCTTCTGGTCCTCTTTCACTTATTTGCCTAAGTGATTTGCATAACCATTCGCTTAGACCTGTGTCAGTTACTCCCAGTTGCCCCTACTTTTTAGGCTGCTTGCAAATACCTGCCCAGGTAAACAGGAAGCAAGCAGTGTCCTAAGCACCTGCCCCCATGCTAAAGGCAGATGCCCTAGTGCCTCTCCTCCCCACTTACATCAGGCTGAAAGGGTGGCGTTGACTCTGTGGTGGGACTGGGCGTGTTGTGCAGGGCTCATTCCTTACCTGGGTTGCAAACTCCTTGAAGACGCTGATTCATCTGCATGCTCCTGCAAGCAGCCCACCTGGGCCGGGCTCTGGGCTCTGCTCTCTGCCCTGGGGATGCAGAGTTGTAGGATGAGTTTTCTGCTCCCAACCCAGTCCTGTTCTTCTTCTTCTTGTAAAGTTCACCAAACTCCTTCCTTCTCCTGTTCTCATATTAGATCTGTCTTTTCAGGAGTAGGATTCAACATCGTGATAGGGGAGAAGCTGACAGCAAATGCTGAAGAACTCTGACTCCAGGGCATACTGTGAATACACTAAGCAAACCTGTGGAATCTCTTTTCATTCCGTCTTTATGTCTGTGCCGTGCTTATCGTGAATGCAGAGAAGCTATACTTTTGATGGTCAAGTGCATGAGAGCAAATCGGGAGGTTGGAAACCCTCTTTGTTCCAGTCAAAAATATTAAAATATTAAAAACCCGATACAAAGCACCAGCTCAGTATTTTTCATTATTATTATCTTTTTTTAAGAAAGGAGGGGAAGAGTGAAGCTCCAGACACCTCCTAGGTCTCCAGGGAATGTCACCCTTGACCGTCATCCTTCACAGACTTCGCCTCCCTCTGTTCCTCGGGAAATGTCGGTCTGCCCGGGCCTGGCATGTGCTGCTAGCGTGCGTGTTAGCCTCGAGAGAGCAGGCACCACAGGGTTTTCTTCCTCCTTTTTCATTTTTTAGTTGTGACATTCATTGACTGCATACTGCAGGGCAGCTACTCTGCTCAGCAGGGTCTCAGGCGTTATCTCATTTAATCCTCAGAACAACCCCATGAGGAAGTGAGGCTGCTGTCCTTCCTTTCCGCCGTATTCCTGTGGGAGCCAGCCGTGGGTGGATCCCTTGTAGGTACAGTCTGAGCAGGAGGTGAGAAAAGCAGGGCAGGGCTGGGCTGAGGCCTCACCCGAAGGCGAAGCCAGCTCTGCTGGGTAGGGGGGTGGGGTGAGTGTGTTTATTAGCCCTGCTTCTGAGATGTCAGGAGGCTGGATCCTTCAGACCGGCACTCGTGGGAAACCCCACATGGAGACGTGGCAGAGAACAGACTGGAACTGAACACCTGGTTTCCAGCCCTGATTCCAACCTCCTTATGGCCCCTCGACTTGACATATGTCACTTTGGCTCTCTGAGTCTCAAGTCTGGTGACCTCAAGACATCGGATGTCTGAAGTTTAGTGTGGCCTCTTGTAGACACTGTCTAAAAGCTCTCCAGGTGTTAACTAATTTCACCCCCATGACAACCTTAGAAGGAGGGCTTTATGATGACCCTCTTTCTGATGAGAAGGAAGAGACACACTGAGTAAGTTGTGCAAAGTCACAGAACTGGGTGGATGCGAAGGCAGGAGTCTGGCCCCCAGCCCCCGGCTGCAGCACCGCTGTGAGAGTCCGCCTTCCTGGTTTACCCCCGCAACCCCAGCACCATGCCCCGCGCTTCGCAGGACTCAGACTGGGTCGTTAACGGTGACGGTCAGAGGTAGCTCGCGTTTACCGGTTGACTTTTTGGCCTCCTGTCTCATCCTTAAAAGGAACCTTGAAAACGGTGCTGGAAAAATGTTCTTTTCGCTTTCGCCAAAATAGTCTTCTTTTCCATGGAATACTGCCCAGCTGGTTGGGAAAAAAATAAGGCAGACCATTAAGATCATGGGCTAAGCAAATATTATGGCTGTTTCCAGAAAATGTGTTTATTATCAGTGAGAAACAGGAAAAAAAAATCACAGAACACTTTGCACTTTGAGTCAAATCCATTAAAAAGCCAACCAGCAACCAGCTCGCAAGAATTTGTTATGTGGGGGCCGTGTGTCCAGGACAGCGGACACAGGGGCAGACAGATAACCTCTGAGCCTGAACTTACAGTGCACCTGGAGACTCAAGGTCAACAAGCACAGAACAGGGCAATACAAGATGCTAGATATTATCTGAGTCCTGATAAAATTTGCAGTGGCTTTCCGTGTAGCCTGTTGTAGTTTGCAGAGACATTCACAGGGTTATATTCTTTCAGTCTTTGTAGTAACTGATGGTGGCGAGTGGTAGGCAGAGTGGAGGTTAGGAAGCTCATCTCGCAGGTGGAGAAATTAGGGCAAAGTGAGCCTTGGACTTGGCCATGCCCAGATGTTTTATGACTCTCATCTCTCTGCTTCACAGGAGGATATTGAGATTTGGAGGGTCCTTGGAGGTAACTGAGTTTGAATGTCATCCTGAAGCTTGCTTTTGGTTACTGGTCTTGGCTAGCCGTGGTGCTTAGTGGGGGCCAGGGAGGAGGAGACATTGTTTTTTGCTGTTTTGTTTTTGTATTCAAAGACCTGGTATGTGAAATGTGGATAAGCCCCGATTACTATGAACACCATAACAATGTTTAGAATTTGCAATACAATACAGAAGCTGATTTAGAAGAATTTTCATCCTTTATCCTTTCTTCAGTTCGCCTTTTACACCTTTACAACACACACACCCCTACTCCTGTTAAAAAGAAACTCCTCTTATTAAACTGGAGTTGCTAGACGAGGTTGTAGTATTTTTCTTGGTGGACAAGGCGTCTCACTCTCTTTGGAATCCTGCAGAGCCTGGTACCATGGTTTGCTTGGAGTAAATACTCTATAAAATTGTCTTTAATTGCACAAGTGTTGCACGATAAAGGCCCAAGATCTGCTTTTAGCCTATAATGTTACAGAGAAGCAGTTAATGTTTTTTTTTTTAATTTTAATCATTGTTCAAGGACAGTTTTCTCCCTTTTACTCCCAATCCAGCCCACCCACCCAACCCTCCCCTCTTCCCTCCCATTACCGC